TTTTTTTTTTTTAATTAAAGCCCAAATTGCTATCATATGGTTTGATACCCAGTAAGAAAAATTTGTTCAGTGACTAAGGCTAGGAGACTGGAGGTGTAACTCCGCTGGTAGAGTTTGCTTAGCATGGAAGGGTCCCCCCCCAATCCTGTCTATAACATAAGCTAGCATAAGCAGGACTGTAATCCCCACACTTGGGAGGTAGAGGCAGAAGGACTGGGATTTCCAAGTCATTCTCTGTGTTTCGAGGCAGAATTTCTCTGTGTAGCCCTGGCTATCCTAGAACTCAATCTGTAGACCAGGCTGGTCTAGAACTCACAAAGATCACCTGCCTCTGCCTCCTGAGAACTGGAATCAAAGGTTTGTCCCACCACCGCCTGGCTAATATTACACTTATTTGTGTGTGTGTGTGTGTGTGTGTTTTCATTCATTCATTCATCAGTTGCTTATTAATTTTAACCTAGTGTTTCTAATCAGTGTTACTCATGTGCTTATGGGCATTGTGGTCATCCTGGGACTTGGGGTATCTTCCATGGTCTTACTCCTAAAGAAAAGTGTCTTTCCCTCCTTAGCACCCATCAACTGCCAAGAGCTCCTCAGCTAGGAGTGGGGCTTCCCAACCTATTACAGGTGTGTGTGTGTGTGTGTATGTGTGTGTCCCCTAGCCCAGTCTGACCTTGAGTTGAATACATTGAATTTCTGATCCTCCTGCCTCCCTCTCCTGAATGTTGGGATTACAGCTGTGCACCATCACATAGGACTGAACCCAGGACCTCATACAAACTAGGAAGGCACTCTACCAACTGGGTCACATGCCACCCCTAATCTATTTCTTCCACAAGGGACTAGTGTCTTTTGTAATCGCGGGTTGCTTTAAAACATGCCCCGCCCCTTCGTCGCTTCCGGTTGTCAGACCCAGTCAAAAGGCTCACACCGCCTGGGGCCGCCTCTGGGTCACGTGCTAATGTCGGACAGCTGGATGGACTAATTGGAGTCGCGGCAGCCCGGGCCACGGCCCCCAAGGGGAGGGTTCGGAGTGACGTGCGCGCTTTTAAAGGGCTGAGGTCAGCTGACGGGCTTGCCACGGGTGACCAGTTCGTGGACAGGGATCGCGGGGAGCGATGGTGGGGGCAGAGCCGAGCAGACCCCGGGGACCGCTGAGCTGCTGGGCGGGCCATCTGAGTCAGGGGCTCGCAGCGATCGTCCTGCTCCTGGTGTCCGCGGCGGGATCCGAAGCCAGGGCAGAGGATGACTTCAGCCTGGTGAGCCCTGCTGCACCTGCGGAGGTGGCCATTGCCTGGCTCGGCCACCCCTCCGCGCGGCACACCTGCCCCTCCATCCTCTCCCAACCTTTTTTCTCCCTTGGGCACCCCCGGCTCGTTATGGGGTCTTCCCCATCCCCGAGAGTTCCTTCTCCCCTCGCAGCCTCTCCTTGCTCAGGAGCCTCAGGGTTCGCCCCGTACTCTCCTTTGGACTCCCGTCTCTAGTCCTAGCACACCTCTCACCCCTGCTCAGGCTCCCCATTACCCTCTCTCAGGGGAACCCTGGCTGGAGCCGGTACCTATCGGTCTTAGGTACCTTAAACCTCGTCAAGCTTGTGTGCATTGAGATGTCCTTCTGCGCAGGTGCAGCCGCTGGTGACCATGGAGCAGCTGCTGTGGGTGAGCGGGAAGCAGATCGGCTCCGTAGACACTTTTCGCATCCCGCTCATCACAGCTACCCCACGGGGCACGCTCCTCGCCTTCGCTGAGGCCAGGAAAAAGTCTGCATCCGATGAGGGGGCCAAGTTCATCGCCATGAGGAGGTCCACGGACCAGGGTACAAAGGTGCCCGGGTGGAAAGAGCGGGTGCTGGGTTGTGTGGGTGACTGGGGTAGGGAGTTGGGGGTTCCCTTCACCAATCCAACCGCCCAGAGATAGAACTTTGAGGTCTGAGTCCCTAACGAGTGAAGGGAAACCAAAGGGGGAAAGTTGTCCAGAGAACAGACTGTAACCACCAAGGTATTGAAAATGAGAATTATGTCGCCCGGGGGAGTTAGCAGGAAATAATATCAGAGAAAGAAGAAACATGGTTCTGCGGTGCCACATTGAGATCCCCGGGGAGAGGCAGGAAGTAAGCAACAAACGGTACAATTTTCTCTCTGCTCTTTTTCTTCTTCTTCTAGGTAGCACGTGGTCCTCTACAGCCTTCATCGTAGACGATGGGGAGGCCTCTGACGGGCTGAACCTGGGGGCTGTGGTAAACGACATAGACACAGGAGTGGTGTTCCTTCTCTATACCCTCTGCGCTCACAAGGTCAACTGTCAGGTGGCCTCTACCATGCTGGTTTGGAGTAAGGACGACGGGGTTTCCTGGAGCCCACCCCGGAATCTCTCCGTGGATATTGGCACAGAGATGTTTGCCCCTGGACCCGGCTCTGGCATTCAGGTTTCACCCTGGGGATAGGAAGAGGGCAAGATTCCGTGAATCCGACTTTTTTCCTCAGTGGGATACCTTGGAAGGAGGGCGTTCTGGAAGTTTCCATCTCTACTGTGGAGATGAAACTACCATTGACTTTTCACATGGAGATTATCAGCAGATCTGTCCTTAGACTGTGCAGGGAAGAATTGGGTGCCATTGGGCAGACACATGCCTATATCACAATGCCCAGTGCCCAGCAGGGTCCATGAGCTCAGGTTAGCATGAAGTTCCCATGGCTGGGTAGGCACTTGTCCAGTGGTGCATTCTGCATGTCCTGGGGGACTTCCAGGGAAGGGGAGTGGGGTGTAAGAACCAGGCATGATGTTTATATATGTGTGAACACGTCATGGTGAAGCCCATTCTTTGTATGCTGACCAAAAATGTATTTAAGAGCAAAAAAACTAAGGCAAGGAAATCAGTATGAGTTAGAGACTAGCCTGGGCTACATTGTAAGTTCAAAGACAGGCTACAGAGAGAGACAATCTCAAAAAGAGAAGGCTTGAAAAGATAGCATTGCTCAGGGCAGTGGTGGCACACACCTTTAATCCTAGCACTTAGGAGGCAGAGGCAGGCGGATTTCTGAGTTCGAGGCCAGCCTGGTCTACAGAGTGAGCTCCAGGACAGCCAGGGCTATAGAGAGAAACCCTGTCTCGAAAAAACAAAACAAAACAAAACAAAACAAAACAAAACAAAACAAAACAAAA